AGGTATCTAGAGATCAAAAAGTTGGCGTATTCTCTAGTTGTTACAGCTCGGAAGCTTCATCCATACTTCCAAGCTCATACTATCGTTGTTCTTACCAATAAGCCTCTGAGGCAAGTCTTGCTCAAGCCCGAGGTCTTTGGTAGGTTGACGAAGTTGGCCATCGAGCTCAGCGAGTACGACATCCAGTACAAGCTGCAAACTGCTATCAAGGCCCAATCCTTAGCCGATTTTGTCATGGAATGCACTTTCAGCACCGAAGTCCCCAGGTCGGACGAGCCCGAGCACCGCGAGGGAACAACCAGCGCGGCTTCTCTCCTAATTAGATTAAACCCGAATTGGGATGAGGAGCCCTGGATCCTTCACGTGGATGGCTCATCAAGTCAGTAGGGCAGTGGAGTTGGAATTGTTCTGTATAAGCCAAGCGGTGTGAAACTGGAGTATGCGCTACGCTTCAAGTTCGCTGCGTCCAACAGAGGAGTACGAGGCGTTAATAGCCGGATTGGCTCTAACAAATGAAGTGAAAGCCAAGCACACCGTCATCTGCAGTGACTCCCAGCTCGTGGTCAACCAAGTTACAGGTGAATATGAAGCTCGCAAGCCAACCATGGTCGCCTACTTAGCCAAAGTCAGAGAGGCTCTGCTCAACTTCCAGTCTCACTTCATCAAGCAAATCCCGAGATTTGAGAACGTTGAGGCCGATGCCCTGTCCCGGTTTGCCAGCACAAGTGATAATACCATGAGAACCGTGTACATAGAGAACTTGCCTCAGTGTAGCATTCTCGAGGAGGGGGCAGAGGAGGTCGGTCCTGTCGTACAAGCAGAGCCGAGCTGGATCGATCCGCTCGCGAGCTTCCTGCTGCACGGGACCCTCCCTGCAAATCATAATGCTGCCAGAAGGGTAGAGCGTTAGGCAACCAAATACGTCATGATAGACGAACGGCTGTACCGAAGATCTTACACGCTCCTCTATCTACGCTGCTTGCGACCTTCTGAGGCTGAGCTCGTGCTCCGCGACACTCATGAGGGCCTGTGCGGTGGACACTTGGGGGGCAGGGCCCTCGCCTAGAAAGCGCTACGACAGGGATACTATTGGCCAACATTGAAAGCAGATGCGATTGAGTTCGTCAGAAAGTGTGACAAATGTCAGAAGCACGCCAATATCCACGACCAGCTCGCTGCCGACCTAAAGTACCTCACTAGCCCATGGCCCTTCGCACAATGGGGGATTGATATACTTGGACCATTTCCACCAGTGACAGGACAGAGGAGGCTCTTAGTGGTAGCAGTTGATTATTTCACTAAGTGGGTGGAGGCCGAACCTCTCACAACAAGCACAGTGCGAAATGTGCAGAACTTCTTCTGGAAGAATATAGTTTGCTGTTTTGGACTACCCCGTGTACTTATCTCTGACAACGGCAAGCAGTTCGAGGACATTAAATTCCAGAACTGGTGCAAAGATATGGGAATACAACAAAATTTTACCTCGGTGGCACACCCTCAAGCGAATGGTCAAGCGGATGTCACAAACAGAGCCATTCTCCGCGGACTGAAGGCGTGCCTAGATCGAGCTAAGGGACTGTGGGTAGACGAGCTGCCTAGTGTATTATGGGCTTACCGAACCACGGTGAAGACCACAACAGGTGAGACCCCCTTCAACCTCACTTACGGCATCGAGGCAGTCATCCCAGCCGAGATCGAGGTCCCCACGCTACGTCTGGAAGCGTACGATGACGAGACAAATGGGGACGAGCTACGTACCAACCTCGACCTACTTGATGAAGTACGGGACCTCGCATACATTAGGACCGTGGCCTACCAGCAAAGAGTAGATCAATACTATAACGCCAGGGTCAAGAAGCGGAGCCTCCACGTCGGAGACCTGGTTCTTCGTAAAGTCATGGTACATGAGCCCAGTGTTGGTAAGCTTGGGCCAAATTGGGAAGGTCCCTACCGAGTAAAGCAAGTGCTCGGGGAAGGAACGTATGAGCTCGAAACCCTAGAAGGGAAGCAGATACCTCGAGCATGGAATATTGTCAACCTAAGGCAATATTACCTATAACTACCAAACTCCAAAGGAGTGGACAATAAGTCGCTCCCCCAGCCTAAGGGCCAAAATGCCGAGCTAAGGACCTCGGGGCCCAGTCGCCTCTTCGGCATGGGTGAACTCTAGGAGTGGACTATAAGTCGCTCCCCTAGCCTAAGGGCCAAAATGCCGAGCTAAGGACCTCAGTGCCCAGTCGCCTCTTCGACATGGGCGAACTCTAGGAGAATGGACTATAAGTCGCTCCCTCAGCCTAAGGGCCAAAATGTCGAGCTAAGGACCTCGGTGCCCAATCGCCTCTTCGGCATGGGCGAACTCTAGGGGAGTGGACTATAACTCACTCCCCCAGCCTAAGGGCTAAAGCGTCGATCTAACAAAAGACCTCGGCACCACATAGGACCTAGTCGCCTTGTCGGCATAGGCTAAGTACTTTTGATGCCTAGAGCGCAGGCAGCTTGGGTGTGAACCCTACGATGCATAGCCCGCCCTGGCGTACAGTGGATTGAACCCGTTAAGGACAACCGACGTTTATCTAAGTGGCCCATGTGTAGACAAGTCAGGTATATACCCTACAATGTTGCTCACATCGGTGCACATCATGCGAAGTTGCCCCTACGAAGTATTGGTTGACAGTTCGGGGTGACGACGACCTAAAAATATCCACTTCGGTTACCCTTACTTGTTATCTAGCCCGGTAGCTTGACAGTTTGGGAAAAAGGATAATTGCACAACACTTAGCAAAAAGAAAAAAAACATATTTCATTACCAGAGTTGCATTACAATGAGCTCAGTACAAAAGGAGAAGAAAAAGAAAATCTGAGCTCGCAAGCTCAATGTACAAGGACTGTCCGAACTACTTAAGGGACCCATCACTCTTGCTCAGAGCCTCCGCAGAAGTGTCATCCTGGTTGGTAGTGTCAGCCTCCCCGGTATCTTTGTCCCCCTCCTCCTCGGAGTCCGAGTCTTCAGTGGCCTGACAGGCTACATCTCCCGTGATTCGTGAGGTAGTGATAGCGCTTACATCGAGCTGTGGGAACTCRCGCTTTATTAGCCACCTATTGAGCTTGATGCCCTTGCGGTAGGCATCCGCCATTACCCCGTCAAATTCCTCCGACATGACGTAGTCTTGGACGGCCTTGACTTTGGCCTCCTCCATGGCATTAAGGAGGATCTCAGTTCGCTCCTTAACATCAGCTTCAAGGTTCTCGATCTGACGCTTCAGAGTTCCCTTCTCGCGCAACAATTCCTCTTTCTCGCGCAGCAACTCCTCCTTCTCGCGCTGCCACTCCTCCTTCTCTGACATCAACGATGTAACTAGCTCTTTCTGAGCTAGCACATCGCCCTCCAGCCGGTGGATTTGGCCGCGAGCTAGCTTCATATCGATGTGAGCTGCGCAGGTTGAGTCTTCTATAGCTAGAGCTCACTTTAAGTGCTGCTCGGACTGGTAGGTCAGGGCGTGCACGACATTATTCACCTGCCAAGAGTGCCAGTTAGCACTAGAAAAAGCAACAATTACAGAAATTGAAGTTGAAATACAACGAGACTTACCACCATGCAGTGAGTAGCTGCTCGAGCTTTGAGTTGAGCAGGCGTTAGCTCGGCCCAACTGGAGACCTCCTCGGCACACGCAGCCCTTTGCTCTTCCGGAGGCTGTACTGTGGGTTCAGAATACTCCGGGCTGATTCTCCGCTTCCCAAAGTAGTAGCAGTAGTCTCAGGAGTGGGCTCCGCAGTTGTCTCGGGAATAGGCTCCGCAATCGCCTCGGGCTCCCGAAGTGAGGGGTTCTCCGACTCCTCCAAGTTGATCACTGGAGGAGCATCAGCAGGCTGCTCAGAAGGCAGCTCGGGCTCGGGAGTAGGAGCCCGTGGAGATTCAATGCGAGCTCTCTTCGCAGCTCGCTTCTTTCTCCCCTTCATCTTTCCAAAGAGTTTTTTTGCACTAAATCGCTCCATAGAACCTGCAACAGAGTTCGACGTCAGTAATGCTACCGAGAAGTAGAAACTAGCTAATGAGAAAAATACTAACTCTACACAAGGTGACCTATCGGGACTCAGACCGACCTCAATGAGCTTGTTCTAGGCGAGGTAGTCCTTGTAGTCAAAGCCGAGCTCCGCCCAAGACTGAAGTATCTCGCTTGTATCCCGGTCCAGCCTAATGCCGGAGTCTTGAATGGCCACCCTCCAATGAGTAGGGAAGGGCCACTCCGCAGAGTTRTGAACTACAAAGTAGTCCCGTTTCTAGGCTGGGACTTTACTGGGAAGCTTATGTAATAACTTGAAGCCTAGGCGGGGGGACAGGTAGTAGGTCCGCCTGTGCTCAGGGAGAACACTAGATGCATTCTTCTTTATCGACAAGATAGAAGAGAAAATGTCAAAGTCAAGAGGAAGGGTGTAGTCGAAGCAGAGATAAATTGTACCGACCACRTTCCGGACAGAGTTCGGGTGGAATTGATCTATGGTTACATTGAAGTGATTTAACACTTCAACAATTAGGGGGTGTAGTGGAAGGCGGAGTCTGGCCGCGAGCTGTTCCCCGAAAATCACGATCTCATCACGACCTCATCACGACCGTGTTCCCAAGGAAAGTCGCCCGTAGGAAGAAAGTAGGTGTACTCCCTAGGAAGGTTGTACCGGGCTATCAGACTCCTAAGCTTGTCTACCGTCATGGTAGAAGGACCAAACTTATCTGGTATCCGACCTCGATTAGAGGTGGATATTGTTGGGGGGTAATTGTCATTGACCCCATATTACATGGGGTCTTTGTAGACATGGATATTGTTGGATTGGATGGGTGGGTAAAATCGCGTCCCATCGGATTGTTGGACGGACACAAACCGTATCCAAAATAGTTAGATCGGGTTTCGGACCTTCGGAGAGTCTTCATTGTCCACATAGGGAGGACCCCACCACCACGAGGTCCACGACCCTGCTTCATTTCATACCCACACTACTTAACTGTTATTTCTTGCAAAGAGCCGGCAGCAAATGGCCAGAAGGGTTGAGCAGCGACCAGACCGGGCCTCTACGTCCGCCTCCTCCGCCTGATTGGAGAAACAACTCCGAGTCTCGGCGTCTCTCATGGTTGTGCTCCAACTAATCTAAGGGGGGTTATCAGAAACCCTAATTAGTTTTTTCTCTTTTTTCCCCAAAGCAGAACGAAGTAATGGAGGATCCCGAAGGAGTTCTTAGTTTCGACTTCGAAGGGGGCCTCGACAACGGTCCCACCAATCCTACTCCTTCTGCACCCTTGATCCCGGCAGACTCCTCTATCGCTGCCGCCGCTAATTCGGCGGTTGCTCCTGCCGTGGTGGAGCCAGTAGCGGGTGGTCATGCGGGTCGGAGAAGTTTCAGGCAGACGGTATGTCGGCACTGGCTTCGGAGCCTCTGTATGAAGGGGGATGCCTGTGGGTTTCTCCACCAGTACGACAAGTCGCGGATGCCCGTTTGTCGGTTCTTCCGGATGTACGGAGAGTGTCGAGAGCAAGACTGCGTATACAAGCACACGAACGAGGACATCAAGGAGTGTAACATGTATGGGTGGCTCGAAATTCTCTTCGTTATCTTTTTGCATTTGTTATTTTTATTGAGTTTTGGCATGGATTTGTTATTTGGGTCATTCATGTGTTGTTATTGTTGTATGGATGTAATGTAGGTTTTGATATGGGTATTGTCCATTTGGTAATTTATTGAGTTTGAGAAGATGAATAAGTGTGCAGAATCTGTTTGTCGGAATTGGGATGCCGCTTTATATCTTTCTCTTGTAATTGACACTTGACAATTAAATCTGGGAAGTTCTAGATGGTGGGAAAGTCTGTTCGAGCAAATCGTTTTTTACCTACTATGACACTTTTCACAGATAAGAAACTTGTATAGCGCGTACTTGTTATTACCTCTCTACCTAGTTCGGTTGACTTAAACCTGGTAGCAGGTTACTCATATGTCTTGCGTCTCTCACTATAATTCTAACTAAAGTCCTAGAAAAAACGTAAGTAACTTTTGCAAAAGGCTAGACTGCTTTCATATAGGCCTTTTAAAGGGGGATAAACACTCGGATTTTTTTGTCCTCTCAGATACGTTAGAAGGGATTCGTTCACAACAGTATATGGCTCTAGGTTTAGTAGGTGTGATAGGATCCAATGATTTGCTTACGACTATGTAATTCTGTCCACATAATAGAGCCTTCCCTTACCATTTTATCATACTTAAATATACAAGAGATGCATCCTCCTTCAGTCCAACAGGAATTACTTGACAAAGTGTACTAAAAGGTGATTGAGTTTTCTTTTTTGTTATTAGAGAAAGGTTATTGCAACTGCAAAGAAATTTTCAGTTGGGAGGTGTAGGTAATGTAAATGATCATTTTATACATTAAAAGTAGTAGGAGAGGGCTTCAGTCTTGGCAACATAAAGAATAAAAGCAAGTCTCTCTAAAGCAACTAGATTTGGTAGGTCCTTGATGAGTCAAATCATCTATAATTAATGTTAAGAGATTTGTTATTTTTCAGAAAACTTGGTGGCTTTCATACGGGTAAACTTCTGATGTTACATCTGGAGTGCCTTCTCAATCTGTTTGCGATATACTTTTGTTTGGTTAATATGGCTAATCAATCTTATATTAAATTCCGTCAATTCTTTTGGTTGCGAGTTGACTTTTTTTGCATCATTTTCCTTTTCTTTATTTATACTTGGTTACTCAATGGGAAGTCTCATTTCTGGACTTTGATTAATATGAAAAAGAATAAATGAATAAAGAAATAAAAGTTGATGTCTCTGTATTTTGTTTGATCACCTTTTCCTCCTGCTTTGAACTCTTATGGAGTTTCACTTTCTATAGGAATAAGAAAGAACATGAAATTGAAGACTTAATTTTCCTCGGAATGCTAAAAATTATATTCACTTTCCTAGTTAGAAACTGAATTAAGAGTATTTTTGAATTTTTTTTTTGTATTTTTTATCCAAGTCCTTTTTAAAGCAATGGTTTATCAATCCTTCTCCTATGACTTATTCTTAGTTTAGTTGTTTATGACACCTGAAGGGGGGGTTGGGTTAAAATTTGGCATTATAATTGCTATAGGTATTAGGAAGCTTTTCAGTACCTTCTTATTTATATAATTCAGTAGTTAGGGGAGCTGCACGATTAATGAATGTTAGGGGATTAAGGAGGGCCTTGTTGGAGTCACCAATTTCATCTAGTGTTTTAAAAGGCATTGGAGGCATATGCCTGAAAGTGAGGCACTAAGAAAATACCTGGAGGCATGTAGTGGAGGCATAGATGCATGAGGTGTATACCTCCAATATAGAGGCCATTAGTTATTCCATCAGACCTGATTTGCTTCATGAAATAAAAAGGAAAATAGAGAGGAAGAAGGGAGAATAAAGGAGAAGAGAGAAGGAGAGAAAGAGAGGAGAAGATGAAGAGATGGTTCGACTGTTCTCAGAGGAAAAAAATCTGTCTCCCCAGCCAGCCAGAACAATATATATAGATTTCTAATTTAAAGTACAATGACCTTTGTGCCCCTTTTTATGTATGGTACACTTTATTCAATCTTAGGCAAAATAGACAAAACAACCTAAAGTAAAATATTATGAAATGACTCAAAAACCCCTGGACTGTCGGCTTTAACACCTCTCCTCAAGCTAAAGAGTATATATCATACAATCCCAGCATGTTACATATATGATCCACCTTTCCCCGACTCAACCCTTTTGTAAACAAATTAGCTCACTGACTCCCTGTGTTCACATGTACTGCATTTATCACTTCACTGAGCACTTTTTCTCTCACAAAATGACAGTTTTGATTTCTATGTGTTTTGTTCTCTCGTGGAAGATTGGATTAGATGCAATGTGAACTGCAACTTGATTGTCACAGTACAACTTCATAGGATTGTTGAGTGTATACCCAATCTCAAGGAGTAGGTTCTTTAACCACACTAACTCACAAGTTGTGTGTGCCATGGCTCTATAATTAGCTTCAACACCGCTTCTTGCTACAGTTGTTTGTTTCTTGCTCTTCCACGTTATTAGATTTCCTCCAAGAAAAGTACAGTACTCTGTAGTAGACCATCTATCAGACAATGAGCCGACCCAATCTGCATCTGTATAACCCTTTATTTCAAGACTTCCTCCTGATTTGTATAATAACCCTTGACCTGGAGCCCCTTTCAAATACCATACAATCCTCAGAGCTGCATTCCAATGGGGAACCCAGGGCTTCTACATAAACTGGTTGACTACACTCACTGCAAAGGAAATGTTTGTCTGGGTAATAGTCAAATAGTTCAGCTTACCCACTAACCTCTTGTGCTTTTCAGGATCATCAAATTCTTCACCCACATCAATGCTTAATTTGGTGTTGGGTTCCATAGGTGTTTCGACTAGTTTAGTCCCTAACAATTCTGTCTCTTCTAACAAGTCAAGCACATATTTCCTCTGTCACAAATTTATGCCATGCTTCGACCTTGCAACTTCTATGCCTAGGAAGTATTTCAGTTTGCCAAGATCTTTTGTTTAAAAGTGATCATGCAAAAAAGCTTTTAATTTATCAATGCCCAACTTATCACTACTTGTAATGACAATGTCATCTACATAATCCAACAACAAAACCTTTCCAGCTTTAGAATCATAGCTGAACACCGAATGATCAACTTGACATTGCTTCATATTGAAGTCTTTAACTATCTCACTGAATCTACCAAATCAGGCACACACAGATTGTTTCAATCCGTAAATTGCCTTCTTAAGTCTACGCACTTTACCATCCTCCCCTTGTGCAACAAACCTTGGTAGCTGCTCCATATACAACCCTTCACTAAGATCACCATGCAGAAAGGCATTTTTAATGTCAACAGGGTCCAATCATAATAGCTGCTAGCCTGTTAAAGATATATCAACACACAGACTGAGCTAATCTTGGCAACTGGAGAGAATGTCTCTGTATAATCCACACCATACAACTAAGAGTACCCTTTGGCCACCAACCTAGCCTTCATGCGCTCTATGCTTTAATCTGGTAAGTATTTGATAGTATACACCCACTTACAACCTACAACATGCTTGTGTGTTCATTTCGTTTGAAGCTTGGAAACATTCGAAGGCTAGGGCTTGGCACCGCCATCACTCCACCCTTAGAGTCTAAAGATTGAATGAACTCCGGCGGTAGTCCGTTTTACTCTGGCGATATTCTCCTAACTCCGGTGGTAGTCTCGGTGCATGCATCAGCGAATGAGGATCTCAACACTCAGATGGAAGCAGCGMGTGCATTAGTAAAAATAGATCATAGAAAATTTTCAATTTGATCACAGAAAAATGGACTGCGTATTTTATAGGAATGATTTGGAAATGGCCAGTTATCTATTGTACTTGGAGGGGTAAACTCTTTATTTCCTTTCTAGTTTGGAAAACTCTTGAGATGTCCTTGAAAAGTAAAATACATGCATTATGTTATGGAAAATGTCCTTGAAAAGGAGATAAAGGAACTTAAGAGGAGAGACGATGGAGAACTTTGTGGAGGCCAATCGGTGGAGAAGATTTCTAAAGGTGGAGGCGAAAAGCTTTCTGATGGAGGAACTAAAAATCAGAGGACAGACTAGTTTGAAAATCAGGGAAGCTAAGAAGGCTTTAGTACTGYTGGTTGGGTTGGACGTGGTAGAATGGTTCACAAATTTTGTAGCAAAAGCAAGTGCAAGAGGGAAGGAGAGAAGCTGGAAAGAGCTCACCATGAAGGTGGGAAGAAGATATCTGGTGGAATGCAGAAGAAATCATAAGGGGTCATTCATAGCTCTCTTAGAGTTTTTTGACAAGAATAGGAAACAACTGGTCTGTTTTCCTGAAGGAAGGAGGCAGGGGTGGATGGAGATAGTAAAAGCTCTGAAGGAATTTTCATCAAGAGTGAAAGCAGAAAAGAAAAGAGGCTTAGAAAAGAAGGAAGAAGAGGAGATTTCAAGAACAGTAGTCAATCTTGAATCTTCTAGGCAATGTGCCTCTACCTTGGTGCAAACTAGAACTAACGCAGCTCTGTTAGTAACAACTGAAAGAGGAGATTGGACAAGGAAGCTGATTGTCGAAATTGACAAACCATCTAGAGGGTGGAAGGAAATTGTTGGTTCTTTGACAAAACATTTGAAGTTGAGAACAAAATATATCCTTACACCCTTTGATACATGCAAACAGAATATATCCACTTGAAAACAGAGTAGGAGTTGAGGCTGTATGTCTACAGGATGATTTTGGCTCGATTAATATCTTCAGGTGGTCCCCTTCTTCCAACTCAAAGGTATCCTCAATTTCAAATGGGGAGATCTCAGGTCTGTAGCTATATTGTTGAAGGTGGAAGGTGCTTTCATGGAGGTGTGGTTGGCTTCCTCCATGGAAGCTGAACTGTGGAGGGAAGCTAGGAAGGAGGAAGATGCAAAGGTTGAAGATGAAGTCTTGCATGGCAGCAAAGGATTGGAGGACCTGCAAGGAAAGGAAAGTTATACAAAAAAGGGCGAACAAAACTTGGGAAGTTCAAAAGACTTGTAGAAGATGGA